AGCAGTAGGTGTGGGGAACAGCAGGGATGGGTAGTGGGGAACAGGGATGGTGGGGTAGTGTAACAGTGATGGTGGGTAGTGTGGGGGAACAGTGATGGTGGGTAGTGTGGGGAAACTGCTGATGGTAGGTAGTGGGGGAACAGTGATGCAGGTAGTGTGGGGGAACAGGATGGTAGTGTGGGGAACAGTGATGTAGGTAGTGTAAACAGTGATGGTAGGTAGTGTAAACAGGATGTGGGTAGTGTGGGGAACAGTGATGGTGGCAGTGTGGAACAGTGATGGCAGGCAGGTGGGGGAACAGTGATGGCAGGTGGGGAACAGTGATGGGGTAGTGTGGGGAACAGTGATGGTGGGCAGTGGGGAACAGTGACGGTGGGTAGTGGGGGAAAACAGTGATGGTAGGTAGTGTGGGGGAACAGTGATGGTAGGTAGGTGGGGAACAGTGATGGGTAGGTAGTGGGGAAACAGTGATGGTAGGTAGTGTGGGGAACAGTGATGGTAGGTAGTGTGGGGAACAGTGATGTAGGTAGTGTGGGGAAACAGTGGAAGGTAGGTAGTGTGGGGAACAGTGATGGTAGGTAGTGTGGGGAACAGTGATGGTAGGTGTGTGGGACAGGATGGTAGGTAGTGTGGGGAACAGTGATGGTAGGTAGTGTGGGGAACAGTGATGGTAGGTAGTGGGGGAACAGTGATGGTAGGTAGTGTGGGGAACAGTGATGGGGAACAGTGGATGGTGGGTAGTGTGGGGAACAGTGATGGGTAGTGTGGGGAACAGTGATGGTGGGTAGTGTAAACAGTGATGGTGGGTAGTGTGGGAAACAGTGATGGTGGGTAGTGTGGAACAGTGATGGTAGGTAGTGTGGGGAACAGGATGCGGTAGTGTGGGGAACAGGAGTGTAGGTAGTGTGGGGAACAGTGATGGTGGGTAGTGTGGGGAACAGTGATGGTGGGTAGTGTGGGGAACAGTGATGGTGGGTGTGGGGAACAGTGATGGTGGGTAGTGTGGGGAACAGTGATGGTGGGTAGTGGGGGAACAGTGATGGGTAGTGTGGGGAACAGGGATGGTGGGTAGTGTGGGGGAACAGTGATGGTGGTAGTGTGGGGAACAGTGATGTAGGTAGTGAGGGGAAACAGTGAAGGTAGGTAGTGGGGGAAACAGTGATGGTGGGTAGTGGGGGGAAATAGTGATGGTGTGAACAGTGATGGTAGGTAGTGTGGGGAAACAGATGGTGGGTAGTGTGGGGAAACAGTGATGGTGGGTAGTGTGGGGAACAGGATGGTAGGCAAGTGTGGGGAACAGTGATGGTAGGCAGTGTGGGGAACAGTGATGGAGGTGTGTGCAGTGATGCAGGCAGTGTGGTGAGAGGCAGTGTGAAGAGGATGGCAGGGCAGTGTGGGGAAACAGTGATGGTAGGGCAGTGTGTGGGGGAACAGTGATGCAGGTAGTGTGGGGAACAGTGATGGTAAGTAGTGTGGGAACAGTGATGGTAAGTAGGGGGAACAGTGATGGTGGTGGTGTGGAACAGTGATGGTGGGGTAGTGTGGGGAACAGTGATGGTAGGTAGTGTAACAGTGATGGGTAGGGGAACGTGATGGTGGGCAGGGGATGGTGGGTGGGGAACAGGATGGTGGGTAGTGTGGGGGAACAGTGATGGTAGGTAGTGTGAACAGTGATGGTAGGTAGTGTGGGGAACAGTGATGGTAGGTGTGGGGGGAACAGTGATGGTAGGTAGTGGGGGAACAGTGATGGTAGGTAGTGTGGGAACAGTGATGTAGGTAGTGTGTGAACAGTGATGGTAGTGTGGGGAACAGTGATGCAGGTAGTGTGGGGAACAGTGATGCAGGTAGGTGTGGGGAAAGAGTGATGGTAGGAGTGTGGGGAATGAAAGTGTGGCAGGCAGTGTGGGGAACAGTGATGGTAGGTAGTGTGGGGAACAGTGATGGTAGTGTGGGGAACAGTGATGAGGGGTAGTGTGGGGAACAGTGATGGTAGGTGTGGGGGAACAGTGATGGTAGGTGTGGGGAACAGTGATGTAGGTAGTGTGGGGAACAGTGATGGTAGTGTGGGGAACAGTGATGGTGGGGCAGTGTGGAGGAACAGTGATGGGTGGAAATGGGATGAGGCAGTGTGTGAAACATGATGGCAGGTAGTGGGGAACAGTGATGGGGAATGAGTGTGGGTAGTGTGGGGAACAGTGATGGGTAGTGGGGAACAGTGATGGTGTAGTGGGAAAGGTGACAGGTGGTGTGGGGAACAGTGATGGTGGGTAGAGTGGGGAACAGTGATGGTGGGTAGTGTGGGGAACAGTGATGGTGGGTAGAGTGGGGAACAGTGATGTAGGTAGTGTGGGGAACAGTGATGGTGGTAGTGTGGGGAAACAGTGATGGGGGCAGTGGGGAACTGTACAGGGTAGTGTGGGGAACAGTGATGGTAGGTAGTGTGGGGAACAGTGATGCAGGTAGTGTGGGAACAGTGATGAGGCAGTGTGGGGGAAACAGTGATGGTAGGTAGTGGGGGAAACAGTGATGGTAGGTAGGTGGGGAAGAAAGGATGGTAGGTAGTGTGGGGAACAGTGATGGGTGTGGAAACAGTGATGTGGGTAGGGGGAACAGTGGATGGTGGGTAGTGGGGAACAGGATGGTGGGTAGTGTGGGGAATGAAGTATGGTGAGGTAGTGTGGGGAACAGTGATGGTAGGTAGTGTGGGAACAGTGATGTAGGTAGTGTGTGGGGAACAGTGATGGTGTGGGGAACAGTGATGGTAGGTAGTGGGGAAACAGTGATGGTAGGTAGTGGGGAACAGTGATGGTAGGTAGTGTGGGGAACAGTGATGGTAGGTAGTGTGGGGAACAGTGTTGCAGGTAGTGTGGGGAACAGATGCAGTGGGTGTGTGGGGAACAGCAGGTAGTGGGGATGAAGATGGTAGGTAGTGTGGGGAACAGTGATGGTAGGTGGTGGGGAAGAGATGGTAGGTAGTGTGGGGAACAGGATGGTAGGGTAGTGTGGGGAACAGTGATGGTAGGTGTGGGGAACAGTGGGTAGGTAGTGTGGGGAACAGTGATGGTAGGTAGTGTGGGGAACAGTGGATGGTGGGTAGTGTGGGGAAAGTGATGGTAGGTAGGGGACAGTGATGGTAGGTGTGTGGGGAACAGTGATGGTGGGTAGTGTGGGGAACAGGATGGTGGTAGTGTGGGGAACAGTGATGAGGGTAGTGTGGGGAATAGTGATGGTGGGTAGGGGAACAGTGATGGTGGGTAGTGGGGAACAATGATGGTGGTGATGGTGGGTAGAGGGGGAACAGTGATGGTGGGTAGTGTGGGGAACAGTGGATGGTGGTAGTGTGGGGAACAGTGGATGGTGGGTAGTGGGGAACAGTGATGGTGGAGTGTGGGGAAACAGTGATGGTGGGTAGTGTGGGGAACAGGATGGGTAGTGTGGGGGAACAGTGATGTGGGTAGTGTGGGGAACAGTGACAAACCACACAGGAAAAGTGAAGGGGCCAGGAACTGACACGTTGTTCACACATTCAGCGCGCCACACACGTGATCTGGATTCAGCAACATCCTGACTACTCACGTTGACTGTACATTATGTCATAAACTTGCCCGTCAACACATAGTTCTTTGTCTGTCACGGCTACTAAGTCGCGGGCCCATTGATGACGGGTAGCTGCCACTGATTTGGAGGAATATATTTTTCCATATGAGCGATGCTGATGCAATTCACCTGAAATGAATTTAAAAACAAAAATCTTCCTTCATTGGACAGCACAAATAGATAGGCTCAGGTAAAGATAGGGCACCTTAACTTATATGACATGATTAAACACAAACACTGCCCTGGTGGAGGGGTGTTAATTAGCATTTTAAACAACTACTGTAATATATATATATATATATATATATATATATATATATATATATATATATATATATATATATATATATATATATAATATATATATATATATATATATATATATATATATAAAAAATATAATAATATATTTCATAGACACTGAAAACTGATAGATAAACTTGATAAAATCAAAAATGATGGAAAATTTATTGACTATAGGGCAGAGTCAAAATATTCTTAAGTGTAGAACTTGTCTGGTTTGACTCTGCCCTATCGTAATGAATTGTCCGTTAGTTCGGTCCTCGCTTCTAAATATTAATGTTGTTTTCAAGTATGACTCAACCATTACCAATATGTTAATAAGGAATAGCCCAAGTTTGAATGTAAATGGAAGTGTTTATTGTATTCCATGTAGCAAATGTAATTGTAATTATGTAGGTCAGACAGGAAAAACACTGCAGCTCAGAATCAAACAACATAAGTATAATATCAGAACTGCAACTGAAAGCAGTGCCTTGTTCGTTCATGTTAGGAATAATAATCACCCATTGGAAGCTTAGAAGTATTCAATCATCTTGTGTCACAGAAAGACTTCTGGTTGAAGCTAGTTTGATTAAGGAATTAAAATCAATAAACCTTAGTGATGGTCAGTTCAAAACTGATAATATGTTACATAAATTTATTTGTCAGTGGCCCAGGTTAAAATGCTTTGAAAACCTTTGATCTTGATGTATGATAATTATTTTGTGGGTCCCTTTTCTGACCTGACCTGTCTGGTCACGTCACCACCCTTCTCTTAAGCTCTCTCGTGTGTGTTGGTGTGGGATTAGTGGATGTCATCATTATGACCTGACCTCATGTTTTTAGGTCATCCTGTATATTTAAGCCTCTCTCTGTCCATGTAATCAGTTGCCTCTGAAAATGTCTTGAATAAAGACAGCTAAGGTACTCGTTGTTTCCATTTTCGTGTGATTTTATCAATATATATATATATATATATATATATATATATATATATATATATATATATATATATATATATATATATATATATATATATATATATATATATATATATATATATATATATATATATATATATATATATATCACCTGAACACTAAGACTTATTTCACCTGATGATTAAACACCCTAATACTGTACCTTGGTCATAGAGCGTTTAGATAATTGTACACGAACGAGAGAACTTTACAGAGAGGGTGTAGAGTACACCACCACTATACCATACAGAGCTATACACAGGGTCAACGTACCACCATGTTCTTCACTTGGATTATGTCGCCTCTGGAGATGACACCAGGGAGATTTTTTATGCTATAATCATTCAGGAACATGTGAAGTGGAAGGTTCTTTCTGGGGGCGTTGTGCTCTAGGCAGGTGGGATCGACCAAACATAGGATTAAGTGATATGTTCCTTTTGTAGTTCTTTGTGGTTTCTTAATGATTTCATTGATAACTGCAAACAATGTTCTTTTGTTTATGGGGTTGTTGCACTGACTAATCGTGGTCAAATTTTTTATGGGTTTCTTGGTGATTGGGGGTCTACATGACACAAGCCACACTTCACCCTCTCCCACACACTGCAGTCCTAAAACAATCGTGTACTTCACGTTGTCTTCCCATCCATAATACGGATTAATTTGGATGCCCCTCGCCATTATCCATGAGTCCCCATGGATTTTCCTTAGGTGTTCGTCCAAGGCGACGGCCGTGTCGTCACTACACGTCATATCCACGGAGTCGCCAAATTCTCCATTTGGCATAACTGAAACAACAAACAAACACAAAATTATCTTACCCAGAACCTTTATATAGAGAAGAAATAGTTGAGATACATAATACATCACCTGAAGATTAACCACCCCAGCTATTTCACCTGACACTTAAACATCATATTTCTACCGGGAGGGGGGGGGGATGTCCATGTTAGGTTACATTGTTAAGTATTATGTTAGTGTTAAGTTGTGTTAGTGTTAGGCTGTGTTAGGTTAGGTTGTGTTAGGCTTGGTTATGTTGCAGTTAGTGTGTTATGTCAGTGTTAGGGTGTGTTATGTCAGTGTTAGGGTGTGTTATGTTAGTGTTAGGGTGTGTTATGTCAGTGTTAGGGAGAGTTATGTCAGTGTTAGGGTGTGTTATGTTAATGTTAGGGTGTGTTATGTTAGTGTTAGGGTGTGTTATGTTAGTGTTAGGGTGTGTTATGTTAGGGTGAGTTATGTCAGTGTTAGGGTGAGTTATGTTAGTGTTAGGGTGAGTTAAGTCAGTGTTAGGGCGAGTTATGTCAGTGTTAGTGAGTGTTATGTCAGTGTTAGGGTGAGTTATGTCAGTGTTAGGGTGAGTTATGTCAGTGTTAAAGTGTGTTATGTTAGTGTTAGAGTGAGTTATGTTAGTGTTAGGGTGAGTTATGTTAGTGTTAGGGTGTGTTATGTTAGTGTTAGGGTGTGGTATGTTAGGGTGCGTGCTGGCGTTAGTGTTATGGTGTTACGTTGTGTTAGGGCGAGCGTCCAGTGTGTTAGGGTGTGTTGCGTTAGTGTTATGGGTGTGTTGCGGTCAGTTACGGTGTGTCATTAATCGCGTTGTGCGTGTTGTGAGTCAGGGTGAGTTGGCGTTAGTGTTAGTGCGTTGGCGTTAGGGTGCGTTGGGGCGTTAGGGTGTGCTGGCGTCAGTGTTGAGGCGTTATGCCAGTTAGTGTCTGGTTAGGGTGCGTTATGTCAGTGTTAGTGAGCGGCGTCAGTGTTAGGGGAGTTGGCGTCAGTGTTAGTGAGCGTCAGCAAGTATGCGAGCGGTCAGTGTTGAAGTGAGTTGCCAGCGTTAGTGAGTTGGCGTCAGTGTTAGTGAGCTGCGTCAGTGTTAGGGTGAGTTATAATAGTGTTAGGGTGAGTGGTCAGTGTTGAAGTGAGTGTTATGTTAGCGTTAGTGAGTTGGCGTCAGTGTCAGTGAGCTGGCGTCAGTGTAGGAGTTGTGTCAGTGATGCTGCGTTAGTGTTGGCGTTAGGAGTTAGTGAGCGGTCAGCGTTGGAGTGAATTGCGTCGCGTTAGTGAGCGTTGCGTTAGTGTTAGTGAGCGTTGGCGTTAGGTTAGGGTGAGCTGGCGTCAGTGTTAGGGTGAGCTATGGCCAGTGTTAGGGTGAGCTGGGCGTCAGTGTTAGTGAGCGTGTATGTTAGGTGTTAGGGTGAGTTGCGTCAGTGTTAGGGTGAATTGCGTCGTGTTAGTGAGCGTTGCGTCAGTGTTAGGTGAGTGTTGCGTTAGTGTTAGTGAGTGTTGCGTCAGTGTTAGTGAGTGTTATGTTAGTGTTAGGGTGAGCTGGCGTCAGTGTTAGGTGAGCGCGTCAGAGTTATCGTGCGTTAGTGAGTTGGCGTCAGTGTTAGTGAGCGTTATGTTATGTTAGGGTGAGTTGGCGTCGCGTTAGGGTGAGCTATGTCAGCAAGTGAAGGCGACTGCGTTAGGGGAGTTATGTCGCGTTAGGGTGAGTTTGCGTCAGTGTTAGTGATTGGCGCTCGCGTTAGTGAGCGTTATGTTGCGTTAGGGAGCGTCATGTTAGGGTGAGTTGCGTCAGTGTTAGTGAGCGTTGCGTTAGTGTTAGTGAGCGTTGGCGTCAGTGTTGGGCGAGTTGGCGTCAGTGTTAGGGTGAGCTAGCGTCAGCGTTGGTGAGCGTTGTGTCGTGTTAGGGGTGAGTTGCGTCAGTGTTAGGGTGAGCTGGCGTCAGTGTTAGTGAGTGTTGCGTCAGTGTTAGTGAGCGTTGCGTCAGTGTTAGGTGAGTTGGGCCGCGTTAGAGCTGGCGTCAGTGTTAGTGAGTGTTATGTTAGTGTTAGTGAGTTGGCGTCAGCGTTACTGAGTGGCAGTTAGCGTTAGCGAGTGCTGGCGTCAGTGTTAGTGAGTTAGTCAGTGTTAGTGAGCGTTGCGTTAGTGTTGGAGTGAGCTATGTCAGCGTTAGTGAGTGTTGCGTTATGTTGGAGGAGCGTTATGTCAGTGTTAAAGGAGCTGGTGTCAGTGTTAGGTGAGCTGGCGTCAGAGTTAGTGAGTGCTGGGCGTTATGTTAGGGTGTGCGTCAGGAGTTATGTTAGTGTTAGGTGAGTTGCGTCAGAGTTAGTGAGTGTTGGCGTCAGTGTTAGTGAGCTGGGCGTCAGAGTAGTGAGTGTTGCGTCAGTGTTAGGGTGAGTTATCTCAGTGTTAGGGTGAGTTATGTTAGTGTTAGGGTGTGTTATGTTAGTGTTAGGGTGTGTTATGTCAGTGTTAGGATGAGTTATGTTAGTGTTAGGGTGAGTTATGTCAGCGTTAGGGTGTGTTATGTCAGTGTTAGGATGAGTTATGCCAGTGTTAGGGTGAGTTATGTCAGTGTTAGGGTGAGTTATGTCAGTGTTAGGGTGAGTTATGTCAGTGTTAGTGAGTGTTATATTAGTGTTAGGGTGAGTTATATCAGTGTTAGGGTGAGTTATGTCAGTGTTAGGGTGAGTTATGTCAGTGTTAGTGAGTGTTATGTTAGTGTTAGGGTGAGTTATGTCAGTGTTAGGGTGAGTTATGTCAGTGTTAGGGTGAGTTATGTCAGTGTTAGTGAGTGTTATGTTAGTGTTAGTGTGAGTTATGTCAGTGTTAGGGTGAGTTATGTCAGTGTTAGTGAGTGTTATGTTAGTGTTAGTGAGTGTTATGTTAGTGTTAGGGTGAGTTATGTCAGTGTTAGGGTGAGTGATGTCAGTGTTAGGGTGAGTTATGTCAGTGTTAGGGTGAGTTATGTCAGTGTTAGTGAGTGTTATGTTAGTGTTAGGGTGAGTTATGTCAGTGTTAGGGTGAATTATGTCAGTGTTAGTGAGTGTTATGTTAGTGTTAGTGAGTGTTATGTCAGTGTTAGTGAGTGTTATGTTAGTGTTAGGGTGAGTTATGTCAGTGTTAGGGTGAGTTGTCAGTGTTAGGGTGAGTTATGTCAGTGTTAGTGAGTGTTATGTTAGTGTTAGGGTGAGTTATGTCAGTGTTAGGGTGAGTTATGTCAGTGTTAGGGTGAGTTATGTCAGTGTTAGTGAGTGTTATGTCAGTGTTAGGGTGAGTTATGTCAGTGTTAGGGTGAGTTATGTCAGTGAGTTATGTCAGTGTTGAGTGTTATGTTAGTGTTAGTGAGTGTTATGTCAGTGTTAAGGTGAGTTTTGTCAGTGTTAGGGTGAGTTATGTCAGTGTTAGGGTGAGTTATGTCAGTGTTAGTGTGTGTTATGTCAGTGTTAGGGTGAGTTATGTCAGTGTTAGGGTGAGTTATGTCAGTGTTAGGGTGAGTTATGTCAGTGTTAGGGTGAGTTATGTTAGTGTTAGGGTGAGTTATGTCAGTGTTAGTGAGTGTTATGTTAGTGTTAGGTTATCTCAGGAGGGTAAATGAGGCTAGATTCTATATTTACCTTCATTAATCTTAAGTTTTTTCTTGGTGACACTTCCCTTCTTGTATGGTCGCAAGTTCTCCTCTATTTTACCCTGTTGAACAAATAATAAAATAAAATAAAATAAATTAAAATAAAATAAAATAAAATAAAATAAAATGTATATGCAGTGGTCCCTCGGTTAACGAGCACAATTCGTTTCAGAAGGTTTCTCGTTAACCGAAACCATTGTTTCAATGGGTTTTGGGGTAATTCGTTCTAGCTCACTGAAAATTGCCTAAAGTCAACAAAAAAGGTAGTAAAGTACACTTATACACTTGCTTTGAGGTGTGTATGTAGAAGGCTCCTGGTTGATGATGATGATGATGGGAATTAGAAGTGGGGGTGGAGGACAAGGGAAGGCATTGGGTTGGAAGAGAAGTCACCCCATGGCGCCATTTCACCCATAAAAGTTTAGTTCTCTTGGTGTAATTCAAGATTATTTTCTTTAAATCAACACTGCACTGCATTATATATTGTCAATATGTAAAATAAATTTCAAAATGACCAATAATGTGACTGGAAACACAGAAAAAAAGCGTTTATGTTGAAGGCGAGTCTGAAGCAAGATGTTACCTCCACTGAAAAGACACAGAGACTGCCGCCTGTATGGTGTGTTGACAGGCTGTTTGGCGCGCTAAAAATTAGTTTCCCTGTACTTAAATTATGTTAAATAATTGTTAAAATGACTAAAATTTTAATACGCCTATAAGACTTTAAAAATTATTGAATATTACAAACTTCTTGATATTTACAAAAAAAATTTAAGGAATTTAAGCCCTAGAACCGATTACTGTATTGGCGGACTAATACGACAGCTAGTGTGCAAGCGAAAACATGTGGAGGGGCGCTAGTAAGGAATTCGTTAATCCAGGGAATGCTCGTTAACCGAAGTTAAGAATCTTATGGAAGGTAATTCATTAACCGAAATTTCGTTAACCAAGGAGCTGGAACCAATTACCCAGCTCACCGTAAATTACATACAAACTAAAAATAAATGCAGTAAAGTACACTTACTTTGAGGTGTGCATGTAGAAGGCTTCTGGTTGATGATGATGATGATGGGAATTAGAAGTGGGGGTGGAGGAGAAGGGAGAAGAGAAGGCATTGCGGTGGAAGAGAAGTCACCTCATGCTACATGTTGCCATTTCATCATAAAATTTTAAGTTCACTTGGTGTAATTCAAGATTATTTTCTTTAAATCAACACTGCACTGCACTGTATATTGTCAATATGTTAAATAAACTTAAGAATGACCAATAATTGTACTGTAAAAAAGTAAAAATAGTTTATGTTCAAGGGAGTCTCAAGCAAGATGTTACCTCTACTGAGCAGAGAGACAAACTGACGCCTGTTTGGTGAGTCGAGTGGCTGTTTGGCGCGTTAAAAACTATTTCCTGTACAGTAATACCTCGGTTTACGCGGGTTTCATTTACGCGTTTTGTCATTTACGCGGTACCCTGCCAGAAACGGAATGCCCATTTTACGCGGTGCATCTACTCATATACGCGGAGGCTGATCATATGCAAACACTGTATAATAATTATAAGACTGATCATAAGAGAATACTGTATAAAAATTATAAGATGCTGATCATACTAGAACACGGTATAATAATTATAAGAGGCTGATCATAAGAGAATACAGCGGCTCTTCGACTTACAATGGGGTTAGGGACCCAAATCCAGGTTGTAAGTCGAAAATGCGAAAATAATACAGTGGTCCCTTGATTAACAAACACAACTGGTTACAACTCACAGAAAAAGTATACATACAACATAAAGCCAAACACTGCATAAAGTCAGAAACACTTTTAAAAATCCCCGAAATCGGCCTTAAATCACTATACAGGTATATATACCTGTACAGTGGTCCCTCGGTTAACGAACACAATTCGTTCCAGAAGGTTGTTCGTTAACAGAAACCATTATTTCAATGGGATTTTGGGTAATTGGTTCCAGCTCACCGAAAATTACATAAATTACATAAAAAAATGCAGTAAAGTACACTAACTTTGAGGTGTGTATGTAGAAGGCTCCTGGTTGATGATGATGGGAATTAGAAGTGGGGGTAGAGGAGAAGGGAGAAGAGAAGGCAGTGAGGATGGAAGAGAAATCACCCCATGCTTCATGCTGTCATTTCATCCATAAAATTTTTAGTTCACTTGGTGTACTTCAAGATTATTTTCTTTAAATCAACATTGCATTCCACTATATACAGGTGCTCCCCGACTTACGACGGGGTTAGGGACCCAAATCCAGGTCGTAAGTCCGACATGGTCATAAGTCCGACATAGATAAAAAAAAAAATAAAAAATAAATTAAAAAAAATAAATAAAATACAAAAAATCTACAATGAAATACAGTACAGTAAAAGTAATAAATAATGATGAATGGATACAGTGTGACTGAGCACTTACCTTAAATGTAGTCAGCTGAATGCACACAGGGACCCCATAATTTTCTATTTACAGGATACATGGAGACTATATTAATTGGAAGAAGCAGAAGAGGAGACAGGGCTGGGTGGGTCATCAATGTCGCTTTCTTCAGACAGGTTTATGTACTGTGGTAACTTGCTGGTTGAAGGTATTGGATCATCTTGAGGGAGTGAAGAGGCAGCACTGGTGGGGCGTGAGGAGCCAGTACTGGGGGACTTCTTGAAATAGGTGTCCAATTTAGACTGCACAGTTTTCTTTTTCTTTTCATTATAAATTTCTCTGTAGCAAGCAAGTGAATCTTGGATCATTCTGTCAACTTTGGCATAACGCTCATAATTTTGATCCATGTCATCAAACATTTGCATTGCTTTATTAATTGTAGCAAATGCCTCTGCCATATGTTTCACTGAAAACTTTTTGGGGGTGCAGGCTCTTCTTCTACATTTTGTCTCTCTTCTTCCTCTGCAACTTTCTGTGCATCTAGTTCAATAAGATCCTCGTTACTGAGTTCTTCTGCTACACTTTCAACCAACTGTCCAACATCTTCAGTATCAATTTCTAACTCCAGCTGTTTACCTAACTCCACTATCTTGTTACTAATATCTGAAATAACTTCATTTTCATTAAATCCTTTGAAACTGTTCACATATCTTTACAGGATTTTCTTCCATAGTCCATTCATGCAATGTTTTGTAACCTGATCCCAAGCTGCACTAATGTTCTTTATATATGACAAAATGTTGTACTCCTTCCAAAACTCTGAGCGTCTTCTCATCTTCAGTAGCAGCAACAGCCTGAGCGAAGGTCGTGCGTAAATAATACACTTTAAAGGCAGCAATAGCACCTTGATCCATGGGTTGGATGATAGAGGTAGTGTTAGGTGGCATGTACACTAGGGTGTGTCAATTTTGTCAACATGTTAAAAATCAATTTTGGTAGTCAAAATATTGTGCCTCTTTATGTCTAAACTTGAGATTAGCAAACAAAAATGAATTGAAATAACCCTCACCTACATCAATTATACCTTAAAGTTTCAAATATCAGTATTTCAACAAATTAATGAGACTTGATTAGAATTATTCACTTGATATTAACTAATCTCATGTAAGCATATGGATTATGGAGTATTTTATGGTTCTATAGCTTGTGTACAATATGCATGTCAGAACATGAACATGAACAGGCTCTCCGTGTGGGACAGTTTAATTCTTGTTTTGACTTGTACCAAGCGTGAGGATAAGGCGCCCGGCTCACTCTCCTTCTAGATATCATAGACGGTGGTTTGCTCTCATTGCACTTGCACCTACTCTACCAGACGAATTCTACATTTTAATTATTGTAAGTAGGGCATATTGATTGTCGCAGTTACTTATATCATTGTATAAAACATTATGTTCTAAGAAATTATTATGTTATTTCTGTTACAGCATTTTTGATAAACAAATTGATATTTTTTGAAACAACAATTGAATTATGAAACATTGAAATATTTTTCTATTTGTCAGATAGTGTGAAGATGTCAAAATTGAAGACAAGAAGTCAGTTGTCAACCCACTTGAGCCTGCTAGTTGGTAAAGGGAAGGAGCTTCCTGTATCAGAACTTCCAACAGTGAGAGACATGCTAAGATTAGGGTTACTCCTTCGAGAAAAAAATGCAAAGGACAGAAGGAACTATACAGATAAAGAACTCATAAATGACATGATAGTCCCTCTTCTGCATCAATGGACAAAAGCTAATGCACTATTCAAACCACCTGTGATTAATCAGTGTCGAACTGTTGAGCTAAAACTAACGAAATTATGGCACAAAGCAGTTGAAACATCACTTGGTAAAGGAAACTTGGCCAGGAAAAATGAATTTCTGCACACACTTGATACTCTGACATTTTGACCTGCAAGTGCTCCATACAATTATGTTCTGAATCCAACTGTTCTCACTCAGGTAAGAGAGAAAATAATTCCCACATTGATTGTGGTTGTCCTCGTGAAAAGAAGATCCCTGTTTTAGAGCTTGAATTTATAAAGGCACAGAGGACAAAGGCAGAAGGCCAAGGAAGTATGCAAATGGGTTCAATAGATTATTCAGAAACAAAGAAGCAGATTGCTAATGCCAAGAAGAGAGAACAAATCCGAGAGAGGGAACAAAAGAAGAAAATGAAGAGTGAAGAAGCCATCCAAAGAGAGGAAGAGCTGTGTCAAGATGTTTATCACTTCTTTGATAGTTCTTCTGATGAACAGGAAGCAACATCAGATGATAGTTCCAAAGAGCCATCTGAACCTTTACCAAAGAAAATGAAATACAACACAAGAAATATTTCAAACATTGCTTTAGCTAGTATTCGCCACCATGCTGGACTTCGTGAGGCTGCAGAAATTGCAACTGCCGCTTGGATAGATGCAGGCCTCATCAGCCGAGAGGATGTATCTTTGGTGATAGATCATAATAAAATTAGAAGAGCACAAGAAAAAATAATGAAGGAAATATCTGATCAGCATGAAAAAGATTTAAGCGAGGGAGGGCTCTCCTGTCTTTTGTTTGATGGAAGAATAGATGACACAAAAGTTTTGCTAGAAGTAGAGGGAGTGAACAGAAAGTTTCCAGGTCTCATCAAAGAAGAACACTACTCTGTCTGTTCTGAG